TTCCCATTTTGGATATCAATTTGTTCCTTAAGAAATTAGTGGCTGGGCATGGTGACTCACGCTTGTAATCTCAGCACTTTGGGAGGCCAAGGCAGGTGGATCACGAGGCCAGGAGTTTAAGACCAGCCTGGCTAACATGATGAAACCCCATTTCTACTAAAAATACAAAAATTAGTCAGGTGGGGTGGCCACGGTTATAATCCCAGCACTTTGTAAGGCTGAGGTGAACAGATCACTTGAGGTCAGGAGTTTGAGACCAGACTGACCAACATGGTCAAACCCTGTCTCTACTAAAAATACAGAAATCGGCCAGGCGCAGTGGCTCACACCTTGGTAATGCCGGCACTTTGGAAGGCCAAGGCGCGTGGGTCACTGGAGGTCAGGAGTTCGAGATCAGCCTGGCCAACATGGTAAAACTCCATCTCTACTAAAAATACAAAAATTAGGTGGGCATGTTGGCACCTATCTGTAGTCCCAGGTACTCAGAAGGCTGAGACCGGAGAATCACTTGAACCCAGGAGGCAGAGTTTGCAGCGAGCCAAGTTTGCACCACCACATTCCAGCCTGGTGACAGACCAAGATTCTGCCTCAAAAGAAAAAAAAAAAGCACAAAAGTTAGCCAGGTGTTGTGGTAGGCACCTGTAATCTCAGCTACTTGGGAGGCTGAGGCAGGAGAATTCCCTGAACATGGGAGGCAGAGGTTTCAGTGAGCTGAGATCACGCCACTGCATTCCAGCCTGGACAACAGAGCAAGACTCCTTTCTTTTCAAAAAAAAAAAAAGAGAAAAGGTAAAGATGATTCTGGGAGTTTCTCTGGACTCAGGGTCCTCACGTATGGTTGTCCAGGTTGTTCACTGCTCAAGGCAAGTGGAAACTTAAATTCAGCCCATGCTGTATCCTGGGCCATCTGCCGTTAGTACTGTTTCCAGTCAGTCACCAACTTTTCCTAGTTTACACAAAATTGCTGTAAAAGCTATGGTAGCTGTTGGTATGATGAAGGATTTTAGTGATGAAGAGGTATACCCAAGATACTGCAGGTTACATTTTGGGTGCCTCAGGACCTCACACAGTGCAGGAAGCGTATCATTCTGGGCACCGCCTCGAAGTCTTAGATGTGTTACAGTCTTGTGACCTTGAAGAGCTAGGCAGAGGTTCCGATAAGCATCAGCTGGGGAAATGTTTTTGATCCTAGGAAAAAAAAAAACAAAAAGTGAAATGTTGAGTGTCTGTATCTCTATTGTACTTAAATAGAAATGAGGGGCTCAACGTATTTAAACTTCAGAAACGTTTTTTCCATGTTTAAATTTTTGTCCATCTTTACAGATTTTTTTCTTCTCTTTTGAGATAGAATTTCACAGTCACCCAGGCAGGAGTGCAGTGTCATGATCTCGGCTCACTGCAACCTTCATCTCCCTGATTCAAGTGATTCTCCTGCCTCAGCCTCAAACGTTCCTGGGATTACAGGTGCCTGCCACCTCGCCCAGCTAATTTTTATATTTTTAGTAGAGATGGGGTTTTGCCATCTTGGCCAGGCTAGTCTTGAACTCCTGACCTCAAGTGATTCCCCGGCCTCGACTTACCAAAGTGCTGGAATTACAGGCGTGAGCCCCTTTTAATTTTTTTTTTTTTTTTTTTTTTTTTTTTGAGACAGTCTTGTTCTGTCACCCAGGTGCCATCTCAGCTCACTGCAACCTCTACCTTCTGGGTTCAAGTGATTCTCCTTACTCAGCTTTCTGAGTAACTGAGATTAAAGACATATACCACTCCGCCCTGCTAATTTTTATATTTTTAGTAGAGACGGGGTTTCACTGTGTTAGCCAGGCTGGTCTCGAACTTCTGTCCTCAAGGGATCTGCCTGCCTCGGCCTCCCAGAGTGCTGGGATTACAGACTTGAGCCACTGCACCCAGCTACCTGTCCTATGATTTTAGTATTAATGGGAGGTTTATATTGAGCATGTAGCTTCCAATAGCTTCCACAGAGAGTCAGCCTACACTGGCTCAGATGGCTGCCTGATTTGCAAATCGTTCATTTAAAAAAAAAAAAAAAGAGAGAAAATAGCTTCCATCTACAACCAATTACATGTAATTTATGTTATACAGCTATAGTTCTAAGCACACAGATTAAGAGAAAAAACAGCATGGGGTACAATGGCTCATGCCTGTAATCCTAGCATTTTGGGAGGCCAAGATGGGCAGATCGCTTGAGCTCAGGAGTTCGAGACCAGCCTAGTCAACATGGTGAGACCCCATGTCTAAAATATATACATGCAAAAAGAGAAAAAAAAAAGTACCCTGAAAACCAGCTACATCCTCCAAATCCCTATAGAATATTACTACTTTTTTTATTTTCATTTTTTCTTCCTTTTTTCTTTTTTTTTATACTACTTCTACTTATACATTTCCTATCATCATCTCCCCAGGTCTCACCAGTTACCACCATTAGCAGCATGCTTGGGGCATTGAGAGAAATTAAGTATGCTTAGAAACACCCTACTCGAGCCCAGTGTGTGTGTGGGCGGGTATGCATGTACACCCACGCACACAGGCAGTCAGCAGGGACTGAGGGACTTACACCAGGGTCTGTAGTTTACACTCAGGGTAACTCAAGCCCTCACACAGAAACTTCACCCCCGTATCACTGAGGGGGTTCTCAGCCAAGCACAGGTGCATCAGCTCCCGGCTGACAACCAAAACAGCAGCCAGGTCCTTGCAAATGGCTTCTGTGAGGTGACAGTTTTCCAACCTGTGTTAGAACAAAAGAATCACAAGTGGCAACACGGTCAGAACACTTCCAATTTCAGCCTTCTTGGCTGCCTCCAAATGCTAGCATCCCAAAGCCCTTCGTGTGAACTCTCCACCCTCTCTCATGCCCTGGTGATCATCTGAAGGAAAAGGAATGAGAGAACAAGACTGAGAAGCCAACTGTCCGGATCTCAACATGGGAACAGGTGTTCCTATCAGCGAGAGGTTCCACACAGCCAAGTCAGCCATGACTGTTTCTCATCTACGGCCCCAGTTGGAAACCACAGCTGCTCTGAGGAGAAAAGAGACTTACGACAACCTCTGCAGGAGGCACTTTGGGTGTTTCAAAGTTGCGTACAGCAACTTGGCACCCTCATCCAGGAGCTCACTGTTGGAGAGGTTTACGCACGTCAGGGACTGGTTGACTTCAAGGGCCAAGGAGAGATCAGCCCACTGCTGAGTGGTGGCAGAACAAGACACCAACCTGGGGGAGAAATGGGAACAAGTCATTCCTGAGAATCTAAATGCCAGGGAACTGTCTTTGGTTTCCATCTCACTGGTTATGTTACACCCTGACTTGAATGATCTGGATCAGTGGTTGTCAAAGAGTGTTTCCCGGACCAGCAGCATCAGGATCACCCAGGAATCAGCTAGAAATACAGAACCTCAGTCAATGTAACAAAAACTTTGATGCAGAGTCCACTAACCTATGTTTCATTGTTTCCTGAAAGAGTCATGCTCTGTTGCCCAGGCTGCAGTGCAGTGATGCAACCTCAGCTCACAGTAACCTCTACCTCCTGGTTTCAAGCAATTCTCCCGCCTCAGCCGCTGAGTATCTGGGACTACAGGTGTGTGCCATCTTGCCCGGATAAATTTTTGTATTTTTAGTACAGATGGGGTTTTACCATGTTGGCCAGGCTGGTCTCAAACTCCTGACTTCAAATGATATGCCAGCCTCAGCCTCCCAAAGTACTGGGATTTAGGCATGAGCCACCATGCCTGGCCCCACTAACCTACGTTTCAAGGTGCTCTGTGTTCATCCAGAAAATGTGTTAGAACAAATTCATAGGCCATATCCCATGATTCAGAGAAGGTGGGATAGGACCCAAGATTCTGCATTTTGCCAAGTTTCCAGGTGATGCGGCTACTCTTGCTCTGGGGCCCACAGGCTGAGAAACACTCAGAAATCCAGTCAACCGACCACGTCATAGAACACGACACTATCTTCTATTCATAAAACCTCCTGTGGGCAAAAGGAACCTCGCTGGAATGTTTAGAAATCCTTATGGTCTCCAGAGTCAGGTTTTTAAAAAAATGTATATCTTGGTTTTATTTTTATATATGAAAACATGGTCTAATTACCCTCATTTCTTTCGGCTTTAAATTAGAAATGAGTCATACTCCCATTTTAAGCATTGAAGTTCATAATCCACAAGAATTGCCAAGTGGAATACCTGCCACATAGCTAAAAATCACTAGAATTCAGCTAAAAACCACTTTTTTCTTTAATTTTAATTTTTTTCTTTGAGATGGAGTCTCACTCTGTCACCAGGCCAGAGTGCAATGGCATGATCTTGGCTCACTGCAACCTTCGCCTCCCGAGTTCCAGCGATTCTCCTACCTCAGCCTCCCAAGTAGCGGGGACTACAGGTGCCCACCACCACACCAGGCTAATTTTTGTATTTTTAGTAGAGATGGGGTTGGTCAGGAAGGTCTTGATCTCGACCTCATGATCTCCTTGTCTTAGCCTCCCAAAGTGTTGGGATTACAGGCGTGAACCACTGTGCCTGGCCTGCTTTTTTCTTTTAGAGCTTAAATCGTTAACAGTAGGAAACTGGAACGTAGCGTGTTAATGGCTTCCAAAA